ATGTTCCGAGACTACCATTCGAATCTTTATTTTCTTTTCTTCATTATTATTCCTTATCATTCCAGTATTAGAAAAATTAACCAATCTTTTAACCTATCCTATCATTCTTATCTCCTATTAATACATACTGTTGCAAATCTTTAATTATATCCGCTTGTTGATTATTATGTTCGGTTAATTTTTTCACTTGTTCCTTTAACCTGAAATTTTCATGATACGAAATAAAATGCTTTTATTACTTATAAAACTGATTTAAGCTTTTCCTTTTGGTTTCAATTTATTTGGAATTATCTTCTAATATTGATTTTTTTGCTGGATTACCAAGAGATAAAGAAATATTTCAACTTCCGATGACATATCATTTCATATCAGTATCCGATTTCATATCCATTTCATATCCGACATATCAGCAATTTTTCATTCATATAAAAAACAGTACTATATATATATATATATATATATATATATTTGCACTTTATGTATCCGTTTCGAAGTAAAATTTAGTGAAGTAGAAAAAAATCCTTTGGTTTTTTTCCCTTTTTCTACAAAGCAAATAACGATTGTCGATTGTTGTTGGATACTTTAACAAATTATATTTCAAAAATTTCAATTTAAAAGTACATTAGTTTAAAATGCTTCTTGAAATTATACTTCACATGTTAAAAAAAGGAACACACAGCCAGCTTCGTAATAATGTTTTGCTATAGAATTGATTAATAGAATATGTGAATATTAAGTACCATTTCATTCATTCAATCATAGCTGGCTGGCAACTATTACATAACATTATTTAAGAATATAAAAAAATTTATTTCAAGCATACTCTTGCATTGTAGTCGATTCTTTGTTTCGTTCCTTACTCATTAATTCCATTTTTAATTCTACTTCTTTTTTTGCTCTCTCACACATTTCCAAATCATTCTCGATTTTTTGTCGAAGTTCATATTCTTGTTCACAATTATGTTTATACTATAAATTATCATTGATTGATATTATATTAATCAATAATTCGAAGTAGACATTTTCTTTTTGATTTAATTCTTTTCTTGTAATCCTGAATCGTTTAAGAAGCTATTCATATTGTTGTATTTTAATTCCGGAAATATGTTTTAAAAGCTTTTTATTAAAAAAAAAAAGATTTTTCATAATTTCTCAATCAATCAATCGATCAATCGATCAATCAATCAATTAATCAATCATTTAAATTAATTTATCATTAGATTTTTTTTTAATTTTTAATTTCTACAAAAAAAATATGATTTCATTTTTTGTTGATTTTTTAAAATTATCGATCATAAAAAAAAAGAAACTTACTGTAACAACAAAATTCTGATAATACATTAAAGCTTTATTTATGTTAATTATTGTTTTATAAACGAATAATTTATGATGCTAAAAGTAAACGTCACATTTCAATTTACTCTATGAGAATTTTTAAACTAAAAATAATTAAATAAAACCATTGGAAAATTTCATTCTCTTTCCTAAGAGTACATTGGCAAAAGAAAAAAAGAAAATTGAAATTTCAACAAAAAGAAGAGAAATTCCTAACACTAAATCTTCACCGTTCAAATAATCAAACAAAACTTTTGCTACTTTAAACCAAAACTTTTTCTATTCTTTCTTTTACCAATTTTTCAAGCAATTTTCATTTAAATTAGTTTTGTTAAAAAGTTGCAAAATGAAATGATTAATGATCATTATCATCGATCATTACTACATAATACTTCAATTATATTCATACCTTGAACAACTGATTCTCCAAATTCTTCTTTTCACTTTCAATTACTTCAATCTTCTTTTCATTCTCTTGCAAACAACTGTGTATTTTCTGTAAAATGATCAATATCTGCAACTATGTAGTAAATTATAAATTTTACTTTTTTTTTTGTTGTTGATTTTTATTTTACCTGAAAAAAATAATTAAAAATTTATTTCATTTAAATATTTAGAAATGATCGTTTTTTGTTTTTGATATCTATACAGGTAATAATTAGGGAATAGAAATGAGAATAAACCAAAAAAGAAAAGGTGAGAAATTCTTAACTTTTTTCCAAAACAAATAATAATTATTCCAATTAAATGATAACATTTTTTTTTTATTGTTTTATATAAATTCATTTTTTACTTTCCTTCATTACAGCTAAAAATGAGATAGAAGATAATACTGTATTGGAGAAATTTTAATGATAGCATTTTTTGATCAATAAAATTCAAGGAACCAAATGTTTTCGTTATTATCATAAATCTCACAAGTGTTATTGATAAACTTCTAGATTAGCAATTAATAGATAAAACGAATTAATTATATAAATTGAATTTAAAATTTTTGCTTTACCATAACTTTAGCATGTTGTTCATCAAATCTTTTCTCCATCATTTCCATAAGTTCTTCATGTCGTATTAATTCTTCCTTCATTTCAGTATTCTGCCAAATATGCGATTCTTTTTCATTTTCAAGCTAAAAGCGAAAAATTGGAAAAACAAAAAATTATTTGAAATTTTAATTCATTTTTAATTTATTACACTGTAAAATGTTTGATAATATTTTTTGAAAAATTTGAACATTAATTTTAATTTAAAAAATAAACAAATAAACAATATTTGAGTGAAAAAAACATACACTTTTGATTTTACTATTAGCTTCGTCTAATAGCTTTTGAATCTCTTCATAATTACCTTGCAAATTTCTCAATTCCTAAATTAAAATAAAATTATTCATCATTAAATTAAAATGGTTATAATAAAATATATAGTTATTATTATATTACAGTAATATATCAATTCAAGAATAGTAATATATAAATTAGAAGATTATAATAAAATACATAGTTATTTATTGTTATATTACAGTAATATATCAGTTCAGGAATAGTAATATATCATAAATTAAATGATTATAATAAGATACATAGTTATTATTATTATATTACAGTAATATGTCAGCTCAAGAATAGTAATATATCATAAATTAAAAGATTATAATAAAATACATAGTTATTATTATATTACAGTAATATATCAGTTCAAGAATAGTAATATATCATTTAATTTCTTAAATAAATTATTAAACTCAAAAGTAACAATTCAAATTTAATTTTCCAAAAAGTTTATCAAATGAAATTGACATTTAGTTGTTATTAATAAAATATAATATCGATCATACATACCTCTGTTAGCTCATCATTTGTTTTCAATAATTCTTCCAATCTTACTTTATCCTTATTTAATGGTATAAGTTCTTTAACTAACAATAACAATCGATACCAACTCCATTTGGAAGTTTCAGTGAAACAACGAATGTTTTCTTGAATGATTAAAATACTTTCTCTGAAAAATGAATTTATTTGAATTTGTGAAATAACTGTAAAATTGTTGTTAATGAAGGTAGAAGTAATTACTAAACAAACTTTAAAATATTTTCAAAAACAAAAAGAATTTTCTAATTCATAAAATACCTATTCCGAAGTAATTGTTCAAAACGTTGTTGTTCCAAATACCATCGTATTGTTGCTTGTATTCCACACATTAATGAATTTAAATAATTTTTACGACGATTTTCTAACTGAAATATTTGTAATTAATATTTTATGACAACTACTAATTTAATATCGAAAATTTAGAAATAAATGTTTAAGTTTAATTTTACCAAAACAAAAAAAAAAACACACGTCTGAAATTACGCCAATTTTACAGTAAACTTTTGTTTTTCCAATTTGTATACATGCTGGATCGAGATTGATAATATCACAAAAACGTTGAACAGCAATTCGTCCAAATCCAAGTTCGACATTTGACACCAAAATGCGATACCTTTCAATAAATTCATCAAATAGCATCCGATTGGGATATCCTTGACGACATATTCTGATTCCTTCCAATACACCATTACATCTGAAATTGATAAGTTCAACAAATTCTACAAATACAATAATTTCGCCATGATTCAGCTTACTTTACAAATACTCAACATCATCATCAAAATCATGATTGGTCGAAGATTCTGATAGATTTTTATAATATTCAACATCATCATTAAAATAGTAAATCTTCTAAGATACAAAAGTAAATATCTTATAACGAATCCCATCAATTCGATAATTTTATGATATTCTATGATAGGTACCTTAGTTGTTGGAGTACAAGACGTGGATCAATAACACCTGGTAATCTTGTCTTATTCGGTGCTATGCAACGAATGAAATGTGCCATTGTTGAATTAAGTGTTTCTAGTAAATTTAACAATTGTTCCTGAAAACTTATTTCATTTCTTTGTGATACATTATTGATTGATTCTTAAAATATCAATCCAAAAAAAAAGCTAGATTTCACTGTTGTAATGAAGTTTACTATCTTACCTTATGCAAATACGACACGGTATTTGATGACATTGATTGACGTTTGGATCGTGATTTCTCTTCTTCTACTGTAATTTTAAAAATCTTCTATGATTAAGTATATATTTTTAATATAAAAAAAATAGAAATGAATATTTCAAAATTAAATTAAATTTAAAAGTTCGTTGAAATTTGTAAAAGAACTATAATTCATAGAAATCTATTAATAATTTATAGTGAAATCACAGGATTAGTTTGAAGTTTATTTGATATTTCGATCGGAAATAGCAATCTAACCTTTAATCCATATGAACTACTAAATAAACTAACAAAACCTACGATTCATAAAATCTAAATAATAATAGTAAAATCATCGATGAAAGGGAGTTTAATGAGAAATTGTAGAAAATTAAAAACTAAAAAGTAATTTTTAAATTTGATTTATATCTTCATCTTTTTAGCTAAATAAATTTTTTCATTTAAAATTTTGAAATTTCTTTAATTTATTCCAAATATAATTTATAACTAATAACATACATAAAGGGAAAAGAGTTTGTAGAAGTGGTTTGGTACTGGAAGCAAGTACTTCCAATCCATTCCTTTCAACCACATCTTTATTCTTCTCAACCCAACCATTTATATTGTATGCTACATTACCAGCATAATGAGCGATTGAAAAATGTGATATTGCGGTATGTCTATAACGAAAATATTTGAATACTTTAAAAAAACCCAAAAATCGAAACTTAGAAAAAATTGAGAAATTTCAAATATGAAAATCTTCAAAATTTCATCCCTTCAAAAAAAGAAAGGTTACATTAATTTTAGCATACCTTGCTGATTGTCTTGAACGAATGAAGACAGAATTGTTGGAATTTGCTGCGAAAAGTTTTTCAAGTAACGATTGATCATTACCATTTGGTACAAGGCATTCCTCTTGTAACAATGACAGTAATCCTAACGGCTAAAATTATGTTGATTCATTTTATTATCAAAAAAGAATTAATTAATTTTATACCAATTGATATAAGTTTATAAAATATCAGGAAATTATCACAATGATTAGTGTTATCAATATTGTGCACAAAATGATTAAATAAGAAGATATTTTGAATAGGCTGATAAGAGAGAAATTTCACAAGCTGTAAATTATGTAAATTGAAGAAAAAAAAATGAATGTGAAGAATGATTATATCGTGAAATTAATTATACAATTTGTGATAACCGTATTAAATATTATGTAAATTGGAATAACCGTATAAATGAAACATTATACAAATTGAAATAATTATATTAAAGATATAACTGTATTAAATATACCGTATCAAATATTTCAATAACAGAATAAATAACCTTTTCAATGAATTCTATGGTATTTTGCATATCAGTACCATAATCAACATATTGCCATTTAATTCCTTCATTTAAATATTCTTGTTGTTCACGTATAAACATGAAATCATTGAAGAATTGTTGTAATTTCTCATTCGTATAATTGATGCAGAATTGTTCGAAACTATTAATCTAAAAGGTACGATATTTTTAACACTTTAAAATGAATTAAAGAATAACTTCAAATTTAGAACTATTCAAGATTAAACGATCGATTAAAAATTTGGAGATCATAAATGCCTTCCAGGAAAAGCTATATGCTGATATATTCAGTAATTTAAATATTAAAATGCATGCTATGCTGAAATTTTAATCATCATACCAAATTAATTAATTAATCTTTTTTTAATTTGAAATTTGATAATCATTATCACTTAAGAACAAAAAGAGTTATGTGGAATAAAAAAAAATTGTGTACTATTATGATAATGATATAATTTTACACTTATCAAATTTTGACAGTAAAATTTAGTTGATTTTAAAATTTTAGAAATTGAAAGCAATTTGATGCGGTTTTTGAAAAAATAGGAGAGATTTGATAATTAATGAAATGAAGTGATAAAACACTTACTTTCGTGATTTCAAAACCAGCAATATCAAGCACACCGATATAATAAGTTCGTGTTGACTTACTTGCTGAACAATTATTGTACAGTAATAATTTAATGATATGAATTACAAAAGATATAAAAGAATTTGAAAAAATACCGGCATCTATTATTTTGTTTTTTTTTTCCTCTTTTATTTCAAATTTCTCCAATTCTCCGATATTTCCGGATATAAATATCCGGATTTTTTTTTCATTAAAGATTTTCTGTACTCGCCTAATAGAATCGCTTACGATGAAATGTTTCACTCAGTGCTGAATTGCATCGTGATAGGATCCAATTGAAGAGGCGCTCGTAGATACTTTTACATAAACCCGATAATGAGCTTAAAGTCTGGAAAATAATGATATTATGATTTTTTGAATTTCAACTGTTAAATTCAGGAAAGTAAAAGAGGTAATATAATATCAATTTATTATGGAATTAAAAACTTTCAATAGTTTCAACTAAAAAATAAAATCTGTTCATGTCAATCAATTGAATTCATTTAGAAAGTAAAACAACTAAGAAATTTTGTTTTTCCTTAAAAAGGTGTAAAAATTAGCAATTATTGCAAATTATAAAACCTTTGCAAGATTTTGACTTTTCCGGATTACTACATCGTTTACTTTTATTGACGGTTGAGTTATAGCATCAATAAGGGTGCTGGTTTTGACACCAAGAATACGACATGCAGCTTCAACTTCTGCAATAATCTTACTTCCTGCGTATCATCCATCGTATTTTGGATGGATAAAAATTTAAATAAGTATAAAATGGAATAATTTTCATGTAAAAAGATCAGAAATTAATAGTAGTAGTAGTAATAATAATAATAATAATAATAATAATAAAAATAATAATACTAATAATAATTAATAATAATAATTAATAATAAATAACGATAATAATAACAATCAATAATAATTAATAAATAACAATAACAGCAATAAATACGACAAAGTTGCGCTGATGTAATAGAAAAGATGCATGTGAATTATTAAATAACCTTTAGAACCATCAACATATGTAATATCAAGACCACTTCTTTCGCTAAATTTAATTTCACCAAGAAGGATACAAGCGGCTACTACTTCAAAAATTTCCGTTATTTCATGCTTGGTAAATTTGATAGTATCCATTGCACGCTATAATTAAAAAATATTAATTTGTTTCAAAATTTTTTCTTTATGGCTAACTTTTAAAATATTTTAATATTTCATCAAAAATATACAAATTTGAGGAAACAAAAAAAATCACATAAACCATAAAAGTGTTAATAAGCAAGAATAAAACATCCCAAAGTAAATATTATAATTATTATATTATATCACTACATACCAATGTATCAATAGCACCTTGAGCATCATCAATTTCCGGATCCGTAATTTTGCCACCTTGGTTTAAAAATTTGTATGCACTAGCGCTTTGTCCAAGACCAAATGAATAAAGTAAATCTTTATCAAAACCATCTGATAATAATTGATAAAAAATATGAAAATTCCGATCATCGTTATTTTGCTTTACAACACGTGATTTTTCAAGTAAATCTATAAAGAAAAAAAAAATGATAAGCTTAAATTTTTTTGAATTTTCAACATATAAAAAATCAAAGATAAAAGTTTTAGAGTATGGTCAAAGGTTACGAGTTCATTTGTAATTCATAACTAAATAAATATTATCAAAAATTATGAAAGAAAAAAAGGTTAGGAAATAATGTACATGTTTGAATCTGAGCTCCTTTCATTATCATATCATCACCATAATCCATACGAATAAATTTTCCCTGTAAGCAACTTAGAACTTAGAACTTAGGATGGATGATTCATCATGAAAAGTTGTAAGATTTAACATTTTATGAGTGCTACCTCTATTTTACCAAACTAAGCATTTCTAAATTTCGGAATTTTTTTATTTTCAAAATTTAAATAATCTTCATTTGATGAATAAATGTGTATTTGCTTCATTACAATTTTCCAAATTGAAAAATGATGTAAATACCAATCGAGAGCTGTTACTGTTATGAATTGTTGATGCATTAGCAAATGCTTCAATGACAGTTCCAGCAGCAGTAAGTCGTTTATCAATACCATCAGATATCTCAAATCCATCCCGATACTCGGACACTACTCCCAAATATTCAATAATCCGTTTTGTATTTACAGTTTTACCTGCTCCACTTTCACCCCTAAAATTTGATTACCTTAAATTGAGTAGTGTTCGTGTAATTAAATTTCCCATTCAATTTCATTAAAGGTTATCGTATTTTTTAATTTTAACTTTTTTCGCCAGTTTCTTGAGGATACCTGTAGGAATTAAAATTCAAATCTACCTAATTAATCTTACAATTAATCATTTAAAAGCCAAAAATTTGCAATCGCAAAATTAAATTCAAATCGAGTGACTTTCAAATTTACCAATTATATTGATTAATTCAAAACTCAATTATTTCCAATGTTTCTTCATTAAAAAAAAGTTCAGCAAAAATTTGAAAACCATTTTCAACTAGGAATAAATTTGTAGTATGATTTTAGAATGATAAAAATGATATCATCGATTTGTTTGAAATTGATTATTGCTCTGATAAGAAAGATTTAATGATAGATTTCAAAAAAATGAATAAATTATTTATTTATCCTTAATTAACTGAACTTCTATAAATGAGAATAAATATAATGTTATCCTAAATAACAAATAGAGTGTTATAATTATAATTGAAATTAAGAAACTTACGTTATTAAAATAGATTGATTTTTACCACTTAGTAGACTATCATAAGCAGCTTGCGCAACAGCATATATATGAGGTGGTAAATTACAATTCTTATCAATGGTACGCATATATGCTTCCATTATTTCTTTCGTATAAATTGGTATATTCTTCCACGGATTAACAACAAGACAAAAAAGACCCGAATAAGTCTAAAAAATTATTCAAAATTTTTATCAGTAAAATTGATAATCAATCAAGATAAAAAAAAAAGGTGTGAAAATAAATATATTTATGTAATAGATTGACTGGAAAGAAGAGATTGAATGGTTTATCATTTTTTTTCATTGATAAATAAAGCAAGCTTTTTATCAACTTTTGATCTTTTCAACATTTTAATTGATAACATTAATTGATCTGAAAGATAGAAATATCAGGAAAAATAAAGAAACATGAATAAGTTGCGCTTGATATCGGGAACGAACGGCTTCAAGAACAGATGCATCATTTAATTCACTTAAATTACACATATCTTCCACAAAATATGATACACTTGGTAATTTCACCTCCGATTTTGATATAATACGCTAAAAATTTTTTATTTAAACTTTTAAAATTTCATCACAAAAAAAAATTTGCATAATTAAAAATTATAAAAAAAATTTTTAATTAATAAAATTTAAGCAAACATTAACCTTTTTGAAATGACCACTTTCATCGCGAAAACTAACAGTAACATTATCATTTTGTTCCTCAAGAACTGTTGCACAACGAAATTCAACATCTGGATCCGTTATCCAGACATTTGTTTCGAAATCATTCGATGATAAGCGATATTCTGCTGGCACTTCAAGGAATCTGTAAAATTGGGTAGAAATTTTTTTTCGAATTACTAATTAATTCAATAATTTCAATAATAGAAGAAAACAAAAAAGATGAAATTTTACTTTTTCTTTCAAAAATTTTTTCTTTCATTTTCATTTTTTTAAATCATTTCAACTAAAAAAGTAAGATGAAGCGCTAATGTGCTATAATTTAAGACAGTTGTCCTCCTTTTAGTTAACATATCATATGGTACCTGATCGTTGTAGACAGATAGATTTTGAAGTTTTCATCTTTTATCTTTACTTTATCAAAAAAAAATGGATTGGAAATTCGATACTAAACAAAGAAAACGGAAAACAGATAAATTGATGTGAAGCACTATTTTAGATAAATTCATTCTTTCAATAATAGGAGGGGATATTTGAAAAAATAGTAATAAGAATGAAACTAACCTGAATGTCGTTGATTGCATTTTGGATATGATAATATGGTATCAAATAAGATTAGATGATATTTATTTGATGGATAATTGAAATGTCTGATTAGTAAAAGTTTAGCGTAACAAGTAGAAGGATCTAAATAAAAGTTACATCAAATTTTATCAAAGTTAAAATTTTTTATTTCATTTTCGCATTATCAGGAATGTTTACATTTTTCAACAATTTATTTAATTTGTTTAAAATTTAAATTAATAACATTTAAATGAAATTCTTCATTTCGAATATATTTGTTACACTTTTGCAACATAGCATATAGATTAATGTATCATATATATTATATATATGTGCTTATAATTAATATTATAATCTATATGCTTATAATTAATATTATAATCTATATGCTTATAATTAATATTATAATCAAATATTTATCTTTGAATAGAAAAAATTTCCATTTAAAAATGAATTATTATTATTTTAGTGAAAAAGAAAATTATAGATATTTAAATTTTCAAAAAAAAAAAAAATTTCACCTGAAAATTTAGAGATCTGAACAAAACGTAAGAACAAATGTTATAATTTTTTGCATACGATTTTTCTTTGCCGAATTGAAATAAAATTTTTTGAAAAAGAGAATTTAAAATTACTAATTGAATAAGTTAGAGTTTTTTATCGATTGAATAAAATTTGTTAAATTTTGCTAATTGCTTTTTGAAATTCACACGATATTAATGATCACAGATTAAAGCAGTAGTAAAATCAGTGCTATCTGTATCTTATCACAATTTAAATGATATATAATTTCAACATTTTATGAAAATTTTTATTTGTAAATTAAATTTAATACCGTAACTGTAATATCAATAAATCGAATGAATGAATTAAATTATCAGTAAACCAGAATTATTCAAATACTAATAATTATCATATCATTTTCTGTCCTATAACAAAAATTTTATCTTCTAAATATGATAATATGATAATATGACAAAGATTTTATCTTCTAAATATATAAAAAAAATATGATAATTATTAGTGATCGAAATAAATTGTCATTATCATATAATGATTTAATTCATTCATTACTATGATATTGTTATCAGTAATAAATTATATGAATAAAATAGGAGAAAAATACATCAATAAAAATTATATAAAATTAAAGCATATATTGAATTAATTTATAAATTAATACCAAATTAATTAATTACTACAGGAAAAAGAAAATTTCTTATCAAAATAATTTATAAATGAATAAATAAACAATTCATATAAATATCGTTTATTTAATTTTTAAACGTAACAATGATAAGAAAAAGCAACTGCTCAAATGTCGGATATAGATTTTCTTAAAAGCAAGATCGGTTATAAACTTGTAATTCTTCCGTTTCCCTTTTTTTTTTCTCTCTCTTCCTCTCTCTTCCTCTCTCTCTCTCTCTCACTTTTTTCTCTTTTACAAATTTTAAAATTTGTTGAAATGAAATGAAATGAATAGGCTGATGATGAAAAGATGAAGAAAATGAACGACGACATATTCATCCTAACAGCAAATGACGCTTTTTGTGGAAAAAATTTTATCATTTTTTTCTCTTACCTTCCACACTTTCATTCTTTCAGACGAAATGTCTATTTTAAATCCATAAGAGGTCAGGTAAATTCATTTTTAAATTTTTGAAATTCATTTTATAATACAGATTTATTGGACAAGTTTGTCCGGTTAATTAATCCATCATTTTCCTTTCCTTTCTTTTCCTTTTCCTTCCTTTTAATCCCGTCATTATAATTATAACACGTATAATACAGGCACACACACATATATATATATATATAAATATAAAATAAAATAATTTTTACGACTGTTGTTGTTATTTGTTGGAAAAATTCTTAATCATCTCAATGCATTCTATCTGTTCCTCTTCTCTCTCTCTCTTTCTCTCTCTCTCTCTCTCTTAATCTCTTCTCCTTCTCTCTTAACTTTCACTTTTTAAAAATAGTGTAAATTTTTTGCTAAAAGTTAATTTATAGAATCAATTAATTATTGTTAACAACACACACAGACATACACACACACACACAGACACACACACACTCATACATATATGCATGACAAATATTAAAAGAAGTTTAAAATTTACTAATTTTTCAAACAATTATATTTTTCCATTTTTTTTCTTACCCATTCTTTTTTTATCAAATCCTTTTTTTTTAGTCCTTGAAATTTGGATTTAATTTGACCGGAACTTGTTGCAGAAAGAAAAGAAAATTTGAATTCTGTATATCATTTATTTGATTTCGTTCAATGTGACAAACTTATTCAATAATCTCTTCAATCATTTTACTGCATCATTATCATTGTCTGATATGATAAGGAAGAAATAGAAAAGGATAGAGAGAGAGTGAAGAATGTGGGCTAGAAGAAGAATTGGAATAAAACAGCAAAAATTCATATTATTGATCACTGATCAACAAAATCATTGATTAATCATCAATCAGGTTAAAATTATCCGATAAAATAGCTCATCGGTTAAATTTTAGAAAATTAATCTTATCATTTCTTTTTGCAATATTGTGATTAATATGGATAAAGTTAATTTGAAAAGATCATAAATGAAATCAATAGAATTTATTTATGGGTATGTAAATTAGTATGACGTAATGATGTGTATCCATGTGTTGATAATAAGATCAAGATATCACAATTCATATTTCCTTTGTAATTATTTTTAACATATAATATATTTAATAATAATAATTTTCAATTCATTCAGAATTATGTTATAAAATGACGAAAGATATCGTCGAAATATTCATAATAATTAATAATAATAATAATAACAATAATAATAATTAATAATAACAGTAATAATAATAATAATAATGATAACAATGATAATAGGGGCTATAACTTAAATCATTTTATTGAGCATCATAATTCATCGATAATTCACACTATGGCATATAAGGAATCCAAAATCCTTTTCAAAATTTGTTCTCGTTTAGAAAAGATGAACAAGTGGGTTTGTATAAATGGGATAGCGGAACATTTTGACACAACAGGAAAACAAGTAGCGGTGATCTTTATAATGTTCGGAAAGTTTTCGGAGACCATGATGATCATCACCATTATTGTCATCAGCAAAATTACTGAAGGTGAAATGACTCGATACCAGGATAACAACGATAGAAGATAATAACGATGACAATGCGACAATGAATGATCATCATCATGTTTGGTAGGCAAAACTTCTCATACCTTGGTCAGTATTTATCGCTACATCATCAAAGAGTTAACCAACCACTCAACTCATTCTATTCCACCTTTTTTTTTTCTCTCTCTCTCCCTCCCTCTTTCTCTCATTAACCTTTCCCTCCTTCTGTCCTTTTTTAATTCAATTTTTTTAAACAAAAATAAAAAAGGAAATAAAGAAATAAAAAATATCCATTAAAGGTAATTATCAAAAAGATATACGTTCAATTGGTAATTTGTAATCATTTGCATGATTATTATTCAAATTCGAAAATCCGGAAAAACAGGATCATTTTCCGTATGATTTATCAGTCGTCATTAATCCTTCAGCTAATAGGATTTCTACTTTTATTAATAGCAGAGGGTCGTATTGTCTTCGAAAAGCCAGCAAAATGGAATAATGCACCAGGTGATTTTGTGGAATATTTTTTTTCCTGAAAAATTAAAATCTACCTAAAATTTCGTTAATTTTCTTCTGTTCTATGATAGTATTTATTTATGTTAGAAAAAGAAAAATATCCGGAAGATATGTTGTAAAATGATTTCTGATCAAATTTAATATTATTGTTAAATTTTGTTGTTATATTTTGAAAAGTTAATTTCTCTTTGTCTTTTTCATATGATATATTTATTTCATTGGTAAATTAATTTTTCTTTAATTTTAATAATAAAATTTGTATCAGTAATTAACTAGTTTCTATAAATATTATAAAATTGCCAAAGATTAGAAAATGTAAAATTGAAAATATTGCAATTAATATTAAACTTTTTCCTGCAACAACTCATTTTTCCATTTTTCAAAAAATTCTTCTTTTTCAATTTCTTTTTGATTTTGCAAAATTAACAAATTTTTAACCTGAAATTACCTAATAGCAAAGAATTAATGAAATGGATTAAAAAAAATAAAGCATAATTTTTTACTAATGAATTTAAAACAAAAGTGAACAATTATGATTCATTTCTTTTTGTCGCTGAATCATTTCAAAACTTGACCTCCTTTTTTTCAACAAAATCAACCTTTCTTCTATTCTTTAATGGATTTTACTATTTCTTCTCTTTTTTTTTGTAATCCGTCAAATTTATCAAATGAAAATTCAGGTTGGCCAGCAGTAAAATTTCGATTAACAAAACGTGGTGCAGAATATATCAAACTAGTTGGAGTGAAAATTTTAAATGAAGAAATTCCACGATTAAGTGGATTTAAAGCGTTGCATTCATTCTTTGAGCATGGTAAACAATTTTATTTTCATCTTTTAAATTATTGATAATTAATTAAAACAAAAGATATATTATTTCCTCTTTTCCCTTTTTTTTTTCTTCACATTTATTCGAAAAATATTTAGACTTCATTAATAAAATATTCTTTTATTTTTACTGTCGTAAGCGAAAATTTTAGGTGTAACAGGTGTAGTTCAACTATACAATATTAATGTGTTACGGTATTCGCCACCGCAATATACCTCACTGGAATTTGTTTCACCATCTTTTGTTATCTTCCAAATGGATCGAATGGACATCGCGTAAAAATTATTTTTTTTTCATTTCCAATATTTAATTTTAATTTTTTAAATCGGTAGTAATTTTTATGGAATCTTCATGAATTCAAGAAGCTTCGTTGGATTCAATTTCAGGTAAAATTCATCACACTACCAATTTGTTCATTAATATATATATATATATATTGGAAAATTTGTAACTATCTGAAACAAAATATACTTACTAAAAAATAAAATTTATAAATAAGAAGCAATTTCAGTTTAGCTGGCCGATTTGCTGGGACAGTAGCATTGATACCAATAACCGGTTCCGTAACAGGTGATTTACGACAAATGAACGTTCGACTACAAACGAAATTCAGCAAAGCTGCTAATGGTTTAATAGAAGTGAAGGTAATTGAAATATAATTTTTTTAAATTTCAAAAATTAAGATTCCGTATGAACAAGAAGTTAATTTCTTCCTCCCATCTTTCCATACTTCATACTTTCGTCTTTTCACACCTCAACTCATATAACTTTGCCTATATCTTACCGAGGATTTCTGTTTATGATTTCATTTCAGGTTGTTGGTTGTTCTACCGTCATCCATTACAGTCATTTTTCTATAAGTGCTAATGGTGCATTAAATGGTTTCGTTAAAATGATTGAGGTATTTGATCATTTATTCTTCCTGTAATTTCACAAGATGATAGAATTACGGCATATATCTGATTACTATTTTGCATATATTTTAAATGAAAATATTTTACTTCTTTAATTTCAGTTTTCAAAAAAGTTTTTTTTTTCAATTAAAAGAAAGTGAAACAAAAGAAAAATCATTTCATTAATGAGTGGACGAAAATTGCTTTTCATTCTTATCTTTCAAAAAGAAATGAGCTTATTCAATAAACCAATTCAAACTAATTCTTTTTTTAATTTTATAATGCTTTCCTATATGATATTAATTGAGTGATAGATGAAAATAACCTTTAACCTTTAAATATTACATTTTAAATACTACAATAAATATGTTTTCGTCATAATCATCTTTCGGAATACTTTATTAAATTCACTGATTGCTAAGATTAATGATCGATATCAACTTAATCTTTTCTTATTTTATTTCTGTATCACTTATCATTTATAGGCACGAATAAATGAAGTAATAAGACAAAAAATACCGAATATTTTTTGTAGTAGTTTGCAAAAAATTATCGAAGATAGCTCACCGTATCTATTTCAGGTAATATTTTTGCAATATTTCATCATTTGTTCCATTGGATAAAAAAAAGATGAGAGGAAATTTAAGTTTGAAATTATAAAATTTAATAAATGCCTCTCTCTCTCTCTCTCAATTTCTTCATTACTTATTAAATACCGAAATTCAATTAATTATAATCAATTTCTCACATCTTTCTTTACCATAATATTATAAATTACGATAATACGATGTTGCTGATTTAAATATTAAAAAAAATACCATGATACTATAAATTACGATAGTACGATGATGCTAATTTAAACATTAAAAAAATATCACAATATTATAAATTATGATAATACGATGGTGCTAATTTAAATATAAAATAATAATAAGACGAAGAAACTGAAATGTTAATATCTTTTATTTCGCTTTATTATTTTGCAGCGTTTAGCGTTTACAAATTTAACAGATCATTTTCATTCTGTTAATTTGGCTGATAATATGATTGTAAGCAAACTTTTTCAACGTCTTACAAAAGGCTTATACATTGATAATCGTAATATAAATGATCCAATTATTACGGAGGATTATTTTGAAACACAACAAAGAGGTTATTTAATTTCTTTGTCTAATAAAGTAAAAATTTTGTTGAAATTTTGTTGAAAGAAAAAAATTTGAATAAATTTAAAATTTGCTTCATTAATTTAATTATTATTTAATTTTTCTAAATTATTAAATTAATTAAGTTTTTTTTTTTTGCAGAGTTTTGTTCAAATAAATTTGTGATGGAAAATTTGAAAATGATTAAAGATAATTTCAATCTTTGAAATGATATTCTTTAAACTTCGAAAATTTACATTATATTCAAAATTTTCATCCAATAAAATTTTTTCTCAATTTTTGACGAAAATTTTGAGTTTCATTTTTATGAATAAAGCGAAAGATTTTAATGATAATTAAATTACTTTCATAATTATAAATTTGATATAGTGAAAGGAAATTTTGAGGTGAAATCAAATATGATAATGATAATCGTCCAACTCCGTTCAATGGTCCAATTATGCGTACCGGAAATGATTCATCTAGAATGTTGTATTTCTATGGTTCGGAATATCTGTTTAACTCACTTCTCTATCATGCTTATGAAGGCGATCGTATGACTGTTGAGGTAAAAACAAAGAAGAAAAAAAAAACTAAGCTAATTTTGTTTATTTTATCAAATTATTTTCAAATTAGATTCAAATTAAAATTTAAATTTCGTTTTAAATTCAAATTGCATCGTTAATTTGTTTTTGTTTTATAATAATAGATTGATGAAAATACATTACCACCACAATATAAGTCAATCGTTCGAACTAGTTGTGGTAGTTCGCAATATGGTGGCCGAAATTTTATATCATCTCTTTGCTTGGGTGTATTAATACCGGAAATATCTAATCGTTATCCGAATGCAACATCATCATTCGTGTTATTACCACATCAAGTTCCAGAATTTCGATTTACCAAAGATACAGGTTCTATTGATCTGAAAAGTTCGTTTCATTTATTTATTAATTAGTCATCATTTAATTTTTAAACTTTTGCTTTGTCTTTGAATGCTTAATTTTTTGTGTATAATAACTTATTAAGCATTATTTTTGAAACTCAATTTAATTTCAAAAATTTCCTTTTATCACTATTAAATTAAAACTGTATAGATATGATTAAATGTTTTAATCGAAATTATTTAATGAAATAACAGATCGTGTATTAACATATATAAATGATGGTCGAAGGAAAAAGCAAATTATGGTGAGTACAGTGGATCTTCAAGCTGATTTTCGCTTACTTATTAAAGATGAAAAATTTGCTGCAGCATTGAAAATTAATAAATTTGATATAAGGTAATTAAAATTTCCTTTTTTTTTTTGATTTTTTCAATTATCAAAAAAATTAAATTATAATTTTGTAGTTCAAAATTGTTGTAAATTACTGTAATTCAACAATAATTATTATATATCTAAAAATTGTGGTAAATTACTGTAATTCAACAATAATGATTAATATATCAAAAAATTGTTGCAAATTACTGTAATTCAACAATAATTCCATTAATTTCTTTTCTTCTTTGCCGAATATTTAATTTACCGATTACAACGATTTTAAGCATAAAATAGAAAATATCAACAAAAAAAAAAATGAATTGTTTTATAAAGCTTATTTGTTAATTGAAATATCTTATTGTTAATTAATTTTAAAAAAATTAAAAAATAATTTCATTTTGGGCTACATCGAAGTGCAATTAAAGGACTTACAAGTAGTTCAATTGCACAACTTGCTCCATTAGCTAAAACATTCTTTGGACCTCAACTTGTTAAGATATTGAAAAAAGGTGTTCCACTTCCATTAAAGGTTTGTTTATGAAATTTTCTAAATGTTTTAAAATTTCAAACATTCGAATTTTTTAATGAAAATATTTTTAAATGTTTAAATTTCTTTTCGTTCAATAATATTTAATCTTATAAATTTATCGAAATTATTCAAAATAATGATGGAATGTTTGTTGATAATTGTTAATCGAACTTTGAACTTATTAATTAAAATTTTTAATTGAAAGTTTTTGTTTCCCATATAAAGTTTCTTTCATACTTACATTTACATAAGTTTGTCAGGAAGAAAAATTAAGTGATAAAAGTCGAATTTAGCATTAATTTAAATTAGCATCGAATATCATTGGTAAAAGAATAGAAAAGCTTTCCAATGAATTATTATTGTTGAAGAATATGACTTATTGAAATATTATTAACTCACATTAAAAATGTAATTTGTTGAAGTATTATTTTAATCCTTTAAAAGGTATAAATTTACGAAATGTTTATCTTTCAGGATTTAATTGAATTTGTCAATCCGGAATTAATTATTCATGATAAATTCGTCGAAATTGCTACCGATTTTCGTTTAGGGGAACAAAAATTACGCGAAGAAGTTAAGGAAGCATTTGCTTCAGTATTTCATAGCTGAATGCATACAATGATAATAAATGATAATGATAATTCACTGATCTATTTTAATCGTTTGAAATGGATATTTTATTTTTTGCATTGTTTAAAAATGAAAAATCATTATTCATGATAATGAATAATAATTTTAAAACTATTTTCATAGCTTCTCAATATTTTAATAATTCATAGAAGATTTTGACAGTTTCAATTTTCTTTTTTCTTCAAATCAGAATTTAGGAATATTAAAAATTGGTTATCATTAAATATGTTAAATATAAATATCCCCTTTTAATTTCTTAATTTTAGTTTTTAAACACTTTTAAAATTTAACATGTAATATAAGTTATTGATCGCTTACATTTCAACTTTTCATGTTTTATATAAATCATGTAAACAAATACATTCAAATGTTGAAATAATTGTTAAATTAACATTTTATATTGTTTACTCATTTTTAATAAAATTTTAAAATAATTTATACTTTGCTTATTTACAAAATGAAAGAATAGATTACATTCAGTCACGTGATAATATCATATCAATTAAAGCAAATACATTTTAAATGATATCATCTTACTTTTCTTTTTTTCATTTCATCTATTACGAATTATAAGTGTTCATTGATAAAAAGTTCTCAGTTTATAAATTTATTAAATTTTAAGATAATTAATTGCTTAATGATATATATATGCTAGAGGTATCATATGAAGTTAATCTTTTGCTATATAGCTTATTCACTTCAAATTGCATAAATTTCTTGTCTACGAATCATAAATGTTCACTGATAAAAAGTTTATAAGTTTATCAAATTTTAAGATAATTAATTGCTTAATGATATATATATGCTAGAGGTATCATATGAAGTTAATCTTTTGCTATATAGCTTATTCACTTCAAATTGCATAAATTTCTTTTCTGCTATTCAAAAATAAGAAAACAAAGTTAGAAAGATCGTATTGAGAGAATAAGGATTAAAAATAATTTTAGAAAATCTAAAGTTTGATTAAAAAGTGAAAAACTTTCAAAATATTATCACAAAAAATCAAATATTTTATGATAGAATACTTTATGCTAAATAAATCACATGAAGTATAACTGATTGTAGACTGTGATCGAAATCGTATGAACTATATTCCTATTGCAAATAGATAAAATTAAAAACAAATTTAATTATTCTTCTATTCCAATCTCGCCTCTTCTCCATGTATCGGTACGGACTACATGATTATAAGTAAAAACCGGGTAGCCTACAAATCACTTTAACATTTTTAAGCTATGTCATTTCTCGACGAAACTTTGCTATATCATTAGAAGATAATATTCTGATCTAATTAATTTCCCTTGTTTAAAAGTATATAGTTCCAATTCTTGCTACGTCGAATAACACGTTTCTGAAATTTTCTTTTTAATACATCATTTAGATAAAAAAGCAAAATTTTCGATGAATTATTCATATCTATATAAAAGATTATGGAGAGTTATTAATTGCATCATGCAGATTGAAGCAACATAACATCCTCTGTAGGAAATTAGACAATTTTCATTTTTTGATGAAGTTAAACGTTATACACTGAAATCGTTGATATTTACTATCGCTAATATTACAGGATTAAAAGTGGCACCGCATCATAAGAAGCAGAAAGAAAATTTTGATTTTAAATATTCAATGGGACAACCACTACTGATCTGCCTGCTTATTTGATGGAAATCGGCTCAAAAGAAATTGTCCATTAATTCCTTTATCTTTAATTGAAATACTATGTAAATAAATCTCTTTCTATGCATTTTATGATTAAAATACCCTCTTCAAAATCTTCAGACCACAGCAAAATCTCATCTTCTTTATTTGACAATGTTCAACTGGTTTGTTTCCATAATTATCGCCGACAGTTTACTAAACAAGTTCCAAAATGAAGTCATGATATGAGATGAAATCTTCTCATTTCACATCTCACACTAAATTGTCAAGATTTATTTATAAATTTAAAACATAGCAATATAGCAATATATTGAAATGTTAATCGGAAAAGAAAAAAACTATAAACTGTAGAAAATATACATAATAACAAAAAAAAGATTATATGAAGATCCATTTAATTAGTTTTTTTTCCAAGGTTTGGAAATTGGTAATTCATTTAAAAACTTACTTATTTAATGTTCTAAACTCTAATAAATCACACGAAAATTTTACCGTGTGTTATATTAAGAACCTACAGAGAGAATTAAAAACAATTGAAATTTTCGAGTAAAACATAAACATGAAAAATGCCTAATGTACACATTAAAATTTTCATGCGTCCTCATTAAATGCCAATAACTCACTGAACCATTGAATAAGACGTCAGAAAAAAATAAGAATACATTTGTCAAATACAACATCGTAGTGGGATTAGTTTTGTCATTTCTTCTTCCACGATTGGCAAGTAATCATAAATAAAATCTGGATTCAATACATTGTTTCGCACCTAAATTTTAGACGATAAAAATGAAATGGCTAAACTCGATGATGAAAACACCTAAGAGAAAAATTAATTATAAAGAAGTCTGTCATGAATTAATGTCATACTCTCAGCCTATGCCTCTTTACAACAGATTTTCCTTTTAAAGAGCAACCGAAAAGGTTAATCACAAAAGAAAAAAGCTCTTTGGTTTCCAAAACTTCCACTTTTTTCGAAATTGTTTCATTAAAAAAAAATACCAGTGGTGATGAATTGACCAATTTCAGTTCACGACGTGTCCACTGTCTCAAAAATGCGTCTGATTCAAGATCCTTATAAAGTCTTGTGTCACAAATGCGGACCAAAACACCATCGACTCGAAGGTAGAAACGACAGAGAAGAAATAGACAGGTTGGCATGGCTCGCAAACGTATGCTCATCTGGAAGATATCTTATCCAAAAAATACTGCTAAAATTTGTTTAAAACACGAAATTAATAAATGGTAAACAGAAATGTATTCATGTCAATTTTTCAGATATGCTGAAAATTGAAACCACATCCATTGCATTTTCAAAAAATAGAACAGATTTGAAATAGAATTTCAGTTAACAAACCTCGGATGATCCGTGATCAGCTAATTCATCTTCATAGAGTGTCAGCTGTGAATAAAAACCAATTGGATCACGACGTTTCAATTTTTCTATTGAAATTGTCTCCTCAGTTGGTAATACCTGAAACGAACTCATGAGTTTTTTTGCACTTAGTAAAACAACAATAAATTCCTTAAGTCAATCTGAAAAGTACAATAGAGATATTTTTCAATCACCTCAGATGAAAAATAGAAAAGTAGTCATAATAATGAAAGATAATGAAAGAGAAATACCGTGTAACCTTTCACAGTCCCTCTGTAATTACTTGTGTAGGTCCAATCGAACGGTCGATTACTTCTTCGTAAACAATTCACATTACTTCTCGACCGCTGCCATTGCTCGCTTGGTCCAATCTTTTAACAATAAGCTACACATCATAAATTGGAAGTTTAATTTTACGTTCAATGTATTTACAAAATCTGTGATATGTTCAGATCATATGTATTTACAAAACCTGTGATAAGTTCAGATCATTAATTTCAATTACCCAAATGATATAATATGATCGAGCGACTTGAAACTGAAAGCTTAATCCAACTTCAAAAGAATAATGCGTATCATTTTGGATACGCAGGACCAACAGAAAAAGCACTGAACTAAGGCAAAATTAAGAGAAAAAAAGATGTGTAAATTTAAAAAGAAAATCAATCTTTTGCAAAATATTCTACCTCTACGTTGGGATATGAAGTGACGTCGACCGACTTCAAGGCATCAAAAGCATTGAAACTGATTTGCAATTCTGGTTCGTCCAGATACGTAATAACCACCGAATTATTAGGAAATATCATATCCGGTAACTGCGGCAATTTTAGCATATGCGTATATTCACAAACCTGAGCTAAGAAAAAAGTCGTTTTTCCTTCCCAATGCACTCCCACAAGTAGTAATCAAAATAATACAACCTGACACTGTGACCAATAGTTATTCATTGGTTCCGGATGATGGCACTGCGATGGAAGGATATGATCGCGAGTAACAACCACGGACACATTGCCGAAAACGAACTTTTCCTGCAGTAAATCGTTCATAAAACATCACTCACCGGACAGCAGAACACTTTTTTCCAGACCTTAGCAATAGCGTAAAACAAACCTTGACGAGAGTATCTTTCCTTGCTTTGATTAATTTACCAGCCATATTTAACCCACCACGTGAACGAATTCGTTGTCTTTCTTTGGAATCCATAATGCGAGTAATTGGGATTAGATTTTACTGTAATGATCATACCCGAACAATAGTCCAAAACAGGGATTTGACACCACTACCCTATACCAATGTAAATCTTCCAGGACCATCTAAATTTATTACACATCCTTTGAACTGCCTTGCAAAGCTGCGGAAAAATATCCACCACATGTATATAAATCATTTACCCTGTATTTACTCAAAGTGATTACCGTGAGTCGAAAAATGCGAAACAAGTAATAGAAGTTGAAATGTTGGTGCTTATTCTGATTGCTTATTTCAGCAATACATAATAAGCATTCATTGGATACTGAGAGAACGTGATCGCTGCAAAGGTATAAATACAAAGAGACGATTGTATACTGGAAAATAGCAACTAGCTGTACAGATATTTCAGATAATTTTGCGCTGTAACGATTGCTTCATTTATTCTTGTTTTCGAATCACGATGTGTACACAGTGAAGTGAAATCTTTTTTCATCAATCAGTTAGTTTCATAATCATCAATCAAAAAAAGACGTAATGCGAAATAAATGACGAGTAAAAAGCATAACTGAGGCATTCCTCTCACGAAAGAAGTATATCCAGTAAAATAAAATCGATATATTTTTAAAGAAATAGAAATATCACCAATTATGGCAATTTGAGCTCAACACAACGAACGCGACTAAGAAAGACTCAAATATGGTGAACGCATTTTTCCTATTTCCTACAATTTTTTGAATCCCATTCTGTTATTTCTTAAGTATATATACTTTTTCTCATTTCCTAATCAATCGTCATATTTTTTCCATTTCCCAAATAAATCATATTTAAAGTAAACAAAAGAGAGAGTATAAGATGAATTTGCTACAGGTAGGCAAAATATATTGGACAAAACTGCATGGAAATTAAGCCTCATCCTTCCCCATCCCTTCATTTCCTTCTCCTCTGTCATTTTTGCTAATTAGGAATCTCTCTTTTTCAGAAATTTATTCAATTCCGGATATTTTTCAGGATCGTATTTCTCATCCTTCGCCACTCGCTGTCGCACCAAATCATCAAATTCATTTTGCAGTACATTTGTCTCATCAGCCGAACCATGAATCTAAAATATTCAGTTCACCCAAGTACTGCAACCGTTTTACACAAATTCTGAATCCGGAATCCGTTGTCTAACTAAGCCTTTAAACAAAGTTTTGTCTTGATATCTCTTCAAAATGGCATAATTTGATTTCTTTAAAAAGAAATTTAACTGATTTTAAAAAGCATGAGTTGTAAGACGCACATTTGCAGGTGCGAAGCCAGAACTTGATATAGCTTCTTCCAAAGATCTTTTAACAGCAGAAGATATTAAACCATCGGAAGAGCCTTCTGCCGTCACTTTCATTCCCTTAAAAAAAATTACGAATAACTTTTTTTGGCTGAAATGAATGTAATATCCATATTTACAATCTAGTTCGCTTCTGACAAGATGAAGTATATAGTTGAAAGGCGGTAAATTCTGAGAAAAAAATACAAGGCCAGAAAAGCCTGGATCTGCGCCCTGTGTGCGTCAGATTTTAGTAACATCCAGAATAAAACAAAGGACTCGTGTGTATATCACGAACTGTGAATAATCATAGTACAGAAAAACATCACTACTGTTTGCAATATAATGAACCTTTCTTTTTGTCGAACAAGCACTTAAATATGCATCACTAAATGATTTTACATTTCTAGGTATCGAACGATTTTTGTCGTCCTGAATTACTGATATCCAATCCTGAAAATACCGACACTCATTTTTCGTTCAGTAAAAACAATGACCCTGCACAATTCATCACTTTTATAAATTCGCATTAAAAAAAACTCATTCGTATAATTTGACTTCATCTTTTGATAATCAGGACTTTTCAATAGAACAAACAGCAATGTTAAAAACTTGCTTATAAAAAAGACAATTAAACAAATCAGATCTTCCTTTATTCTAGTCATACAGTCCTGATGCTAATCGAGACTTTTCAACTAATTTGAAGTTTGACTTTCCTTAGCTCCATGACTTTTTTTACCATGGAAAGATTTAAGGACATCATTTTTCGTTCAAGTATTTCCTTAATAGATCCTAAGCAAATGTTTTACGATGGAAAGCTTTTAATCCACAATTCCAAACTCATTATTACACAAAAACAAAAAAATTAACCTTTGGTAAAATATTTTTCCAAGTGGGACCTGGCATAGCATCCTGCGCGTCTTGCATCTCTATGTCATTCAATCTGCTACCTTTACGATCCTTTATCCTACTAGCCTAAAATAATGATAAAATCAAGGAAATTATTTAGAAAGAAGATGCATAAAATCCTACTATTTAAAGATTTGTTACACCAACCTCGTCGGGTTTAAAAGCGGAATTCGACGGTACACATTCGGCTTCACTGTTTGCAGTAAAACTGCTCGATTCAACAGCTTGATCATCTAAATTTTTGTACATTAATTTCAATTTCTTAAATATTAATTTGTGTTGTACAAATCTAACTCCTAAAGAGTGTTGGATGTCCTACCACACAAATGAAGTGTTATCAATTGTGAGTGTCAAAACACGATGGATATATTTTCAAAAGCTTCAAGTTATCTAGGACATTTCCTTTAACAAAAGCACCAAATTTTGATGACCTAATTAGCAGATTGGTGGAATGAAAAAATGTTAGCTGAGAGCGTGTATTCGTTTCATGATATTACATTAGCAACGGACAACCATATCTGGCGCATTGTGACCTTCAACGAACATAAAACATAAAAAAAGAAAAACAAAACAATCATCGTAAGAACGTACGTTCATTTGCAAGAACAATATCTTCCATCATGTCATGAACGGTAAAAGGAGTTTCCCGACGCAACAAAAGTCTTATATGGGACATACTCATTTGTGCCATTGAAACTGACAGGTGGTGTTCAGTGACTCTTGCGGGTCTTTCCTGAAATATTTTGAACTACGAACGATATAACGAAGTGAAACGTTAACGAGAATTATTCATGGAATTTACACAACATAGCAATTCAGTGAATGATAGTTATTAAAGCAGAAACAGTTTAAAATTTAGATAACCATAAAACGAAGAAGAAGGCTCTCGTAGTCGTATGGTTGGCCCTTCATTGATAAGTTTGTTAGCAGGACTGCTCGATAAACATAAGCTGTGAACATGTCGACAATAGTTTTCGAGTACTCTTCCGGCGTCAGATCTAATGATAAATTATTACATATAAACGTGCTATGTCTCACAATTTCAACAAAGGCAGCCCACTCAAGTGTAAAAAGTCATTGAATTCAACGAAGATATTAAGTAACAGTTACCATCATCGGTGCGCATCAAGTGACGCAGAAATTCTTCTACAATTCGCTTTTCCAAGCGCAACACACTAGCAACTAAATCTATTCGACCAACACCGTCGACATCCGCGTAACGATGAACATCGCTGTATGCAAGAAAACGATCCAACTTCTCCTCCGCTAGTGCCACACGTTCAGCAGCATTTTTAAGATCTACAAAATTTCAACATATCTCAACAGCAAAAAATAAACCCCTGCTGGAACCCGATGGGATGCAACCTCCAAACAAGGGGAAAATAACCAGGTCACATATTGACTGGAATACATCATTATCCACTCAAACACTGTGGTCTAAATTTCATTTAATTATGTTGCAAACAGGCTCAATACAGAAGAGTACAAAACAACCAAGCTCGCTGAGCGATTGTATCCCATTAGCAACATATGCTGAAGCAGTGAAATAATTGATAACAAATGAAACCTTCGTCAGATGGTCGACAGTTATCATTGAATACATTCTGAATCAGAAAACGGCGCATCTGATGCCGATTCTTGCTTAAAGAAGAGAAATTCCCATTCAATATTTGCACAACTTCAGGAATTTGCAATATTTCATATGCCAACACCATAACCAAATTTACAAAGCCTGCAAAAGTTAGGTTAAGCAAGTACGAAACCCCGATGTTTTAAATCCAGTCAGCGAGAAAAAGCCCAAATGTGTCAATCTGTGGACATGGGCAAAAAATACCGACATACGCTACAAAAATAATTGAACCTGTATCAAGGCGCGTAACTGGTTGTCCTATCTCACGCATCACTTGCCCAAGTGTTGTTGAACGCCCTGATTGCATCAAGTCCGACAAAGTTCTTATCATTTCAATGATATTCAAATCATTTTCTGGATTATCTGCAACTAAAACCGACTTGTGCATACAATGAGAAATTATTTCTGGATTATCTGCAACTGGAACCGACTTGTGCATACAATGCCAAGGTCGTCCACACTCTAATACCGAAGAAATCGGTTTCTACCAGGACATCGAAGCTGACTATTTCAACACGATAGGTCAGCTAGAACGTATGGTGCATATCAAATTCCCTATCTCGAGTCAGTAAGACATGTTAACGCCATGGATATTTACCAAAGACTTTTGTAGACTAAGCCGAGTTCCAAATGCACAATTACCGGAATGTGCATCTTACTAAATAAGCGGACACTGATGGTGATTCTGGCAATAATTTTATTTTTAAATTATAATTCACACAATCATTAAGGCAGATATCACATTATCCAACATTATCTACTTGTATTAAAAATTTGAAAAAAAATCACCATCGCTAGCACCACTGGGTGCCTGAATTTCTGACATACCACTTTCTTGGGTGGTGTCAGTGCGATTGGTGTGTGGATCCTCTCCCAGGTTTTCATCTCTCATTTGCACTTCTTGCGAAGGATCAAAAGTTTCCTGTAAAATTCAATATAATTTCTCAGATACTGTGTCATCAGCAGACCGATTTTCTGTAAAGGTGAGCAAAGCAATTTGCTACGCTAAACATAACTACACATTCAAATAATATTTAGTCACATGTCCCAATAAATTTGGAATTTTTTTTTTCCTTTTTAAACCAACAATGAGTAAGTTTGTAATGGACTTGTCTGACAAGAAGAACTAAGTTCATATAATGAAAGATTAACTTATTTTCTCTTATTTAAATAATTTTGTTCAAGCAATAACGAAGAAAACCCTATTTTATATTGATAAAGCACAAAACGCTTACGATGTCCACAGCATCTAATTCAATTGAGCCTATTGGTGGGCCCGGAACTTCGAATCCATGTAATGGTGTACTAATTACCGGTACCATGCCATAATCTATAAAATGAGGAAATCTACAAACCATTACAAAATACGATTTATTATAACGTAGTCAAGTTAGCATCATTTTGTAGATAAAAATATATATTATTAGCTAAAAAACAAGTGTACTTATATGTTCAAAAACAATTTCGGATAACACACTGGAAATGTTATATTCGCCCTGCGAAGCGCTCAAACGATGAGCAATATCAGCATCCGTATCAGCTAGATTTGCAACCGCTCGTCGCAACATCGCTGTCAGGACGCTTTTAAAATGTTCTGGGCGTTCAAAAAGTGCTTCCCCTCGCTGATTCAAGGCAACATGAATATCGGAGTCATGTAAACCTCTGACTCGATCCTGCAAAAAAAGCTGCTGAACGAAAATTATGATGAATTTCAATGTAGCTCAAAAAATTAGCGTATGATGAAAGTGAACTTTAGTTTAAACATTTCGAAAAAACTATAGTTTCAAAGAATGAAACAAAACTACTTCTCCGAATATCTGTTAAAATCCCTATGTGAGATGATTCATAAAGTTCATGTAATGGAAGCTACCATGAACAATGTTCTATCAACCGCTACAAAAAAACTTCCTAATTGACGTGTACCATAGCATTAAAACATGAATCGGAACTTGGCAGCTCACTACACCCTTCTCCACATCAAATAAAACAGCCGACAGTTCAATTATTCCAGAATCTTCAATGTCGCCAACTCACGGTGATATGAGTGCACTATAAAAACTAACCCAACGACGTATCAAAGCTTCTACATCAGCAAATTCAGATGATTGAGGATCGAGACTTTCTTTATATCTTAATGTTGCCTGAAATGGGAAAAAATAATTGATTTTCCAGTAAGATTAAAATGAATTATTGCGTACATGCTAAGATCCAGAAATTCTCTATTCTCTTAAAATTGAATGATCTTAGGGCTGATAAGATACTATGTCAATGAAATTTAACCACTCGAAATTATCAAAAAGAGTTAAGAGTTACAAAAATAGATTTCTTGATGACATATTCATCATAATAAAAGGTATGAGAGCGATCACTTTTAGTAGCTTACCCAGAATCAATTTAATTAGATATGAACATTACCTGATACAGATCACCTATAAGTGTTTCATACGCTGCCGAATTGTGAATATGTGCTCGAGGATTGCATAAATTGCTCTGACAGTTTAAATGAGGGTCATTCGTATAGATTGTTGAGTCATTTGGATAATGAGGCCCAATGAACATATCATTTGGATGCTGCAAAGAAAAAACATTTATTACATAACCCATTTGATTTAATTTCCTTATCACTTTGTCTACTTTAAGTAAATTTCTCAAAAGAATACAGTTTAAATCAACAAATTCATTTCAGTTCAATAATGGGCACAATGTGAGCTTTTTCGAATAACCGTGGTTAGCAGAATTCGGCGTGGGGTCATGAGGACACGCCGAATTACAGCCTAGCAGAGAATCAAGCTGTGAAATTTTCAAATTCAAGCCAAATTCTATGTACTAAGACAGAACTGTTGGGCTACTCAACAGTTCTGTCCACTTAGAACTTGGCTTGAATTTAATTTTGCAAAAGGAAAAATCTATAAATGAAACATACCTCAATACCTCCTTCTCTATCACCTCGATTGGTGTACGTTCGTCGAGCCCACATAATATTAGTTCTTAAAATAAAAGTGCATTAAAGTCTATTCTGGACAAATATACGAATCCGAAATATTTGCAAAGTGGATAAGAGTATCAGATAAACCAAAAAATTTAAAACAAGGCAGTTTCCAAACCATCCAATTGTGTACAGTACTTACGTGAAAGCGAGACCGAAATTTTCAGGACTCAAAAAAATTCTGCCGAAATCAAAGTACCTGTTTCTACCCATAGATGGTATAATTCGTGGCATTCCATTGACCTGCACATGGACACCATTTTCACCTACCGCAGCAGTCGCAGCTTGCATTGCAGCATCAAGGGCACGACGAGCTGCCTGAATCGTAATGAAGAGAAATAAAACATGTTTAACAAGACGATAAGTTATGCCAGTTTCAATTTTTTAATAAAATAATGAAGTTCTATATCAAAAGAGAAATTTCACAGTCACCTCAGCATTTGCTGGTCCATTTGTACGCACGATTACTTGACCAACAATTCCTGGACCATGGAATGTAGGAGTTGAAGGAGCTAAGAATGCACGTGCCGAAGACTGCATTTGATTCGACTGTCCAGGGTGCTGACGACTGTGCACATTGATCACTGGATGTCGTCGAGGGCTAGCATTTGCACCAGTTTGTGTGTTAGGTGACGCTGCAACAACACACTGTAGTATTTTAAACAGGTCCTAATTTATGATGAATACTGAATTTTTTCTGCGCTACCCATAGCTACGATTAGAAAAAAAAGTACTGATTACCCGGCAACATGATAACACAATGAGTGTCAATTCAAGCTTAATATCTTAAAAATACCAATAATTTGTGTCTTTTATGACTTCAAAAAAATGATGAAATAATCGTGGTGAAGTACAAAGAAAACAGTTTTCCTTTTTCAAAATCTAAAATAACAATAAATGAACAGAAAGATAAAATACGACAAATACGAATGACTGTATCAATCATTTTCATACTCGACTAATAATGATGTAAGTTGTTTACCGGTTTGGCTTGTTTGCATAGATGTTATGTTCCCAAAAGCATTCGGCAGTATACTTCGGATAAAATTCTGAATACCACCACGAACAGCAGTATTCACTGCTCCGCCTATATTTGAGAAAAAGAACGATATGTTACAAGCAGTACGATATTTTATTTTAAGAATGCAAATTTGAAATGTGTTGAATAGAAAAAAGAAACATCCCCACACAAATATTTACAGAAGTATGCGATAAGGAAAACGTTACAAATTTATGAACCTTGGGAAAGGAAAGGACAAAGAAAATTAGTTCACAAAAACAAAATTTTTTCCAAAGGTTACAAAAATTACTCACCAAACTGCATTTGATTGCCTGTAGACTCAGATTCAGAGGAAACAGACTGGGCGCCAGGATTCTCGCCTTCTGCTTGACTAGTATTTAAACCGAATGCTCCAGACGTTTCCATACGCACTCCGGAATGTGCACTAGGTGCCACATGTAATCGAGCGCTTTGTACGTGAAGTGGACCTGCAGCAACAAAATTTTATTTTCTGTTCTAGTAAATGACAAAAAATATCGACTCACCTGAAGATACGAATGGCATACGACTTCCCGCAGCACTAATGTCTGGAACTGTGATAACCGTCGGTGTTCGAATTGTTGGGTTTAAAACGGGATATGTTCGTAACCCACCTCTCATGGACTGAGATAAACGGAAAGCTCGTGAGTGACCTGTATTTTGAACTTCATAGCGTAAGATGTAAAAGGTTACCTACGTCAGTTACATCAATCAAGGGCAAATTCAATGCTTGAGTTTAATACCTTAACCAATTATATAGGATTTCATTTCATTATGGTGGCTGTTTTCTCCTTCAAACCAAATACCTACTGTAACTACAGAAAAAAGCTTTTGGAGTTCGGAATGCAGGTTATGTTTGAAAGCAAGTTAAGAAACAGTTTATTACCCATGTGATGAATATGACCGATGTTACTACCATCAGCAGGCTGCTGACTTCCTTCAGAGACTGATCTGTCCCGAGAGTCCCGTTCATTTTGTGCCACAAATACCAGAGTAAGGACAACCTGCAAATTAATATCTTTTTTCATGCAAATAACAAATAGTTTGAAGAAAAGAATACTTCCTCCATTTTCAATTACATTTTACTAATATTCAGGTCTTGTTTGCGTATCTGAGCAACCATGATGTACTTTACCTCAGTAGTTGGCTCGTCGTGATGTTCCGCAGAACTCGGTTCCAAAGGTGAGTCCGGATCCGAGAAATTGACGACAATGTCGGACAGTGAATGATAGGCATGCGAAAGACGGTGCAGGACACGTCGGAAATTTTCTTCAAAGCATAATGCGATACATCTGGCGCGCTAAAAAAATGTACACGGAAATAGGGCGATGCTTACATGTTTCGAACACAAAAGTACACATAAACTCCTATGAAAACGCAAAGAAAGATTTTTGTTTCTTACAGAATTGGAATAACTCATAGAAAATGGAATAAAAAAGTTCCATGTGGTAGCACAGCCCAGAGGAAAAATTATGCGTAAAACTTACGTTATTTGGCATACTGTTCCGCTTATGAATCATGTCTTGATAACGCTTTAGATGACAGTTCGCCAGATTTTGTACGCTCAGTATTTTCCGAAGTAAATCCGTATAATTCTCTGGTGTGGCGTGTCTATAAATTCTTCAATGAAAATCATGTAAAAACATTCAACATTCTTACCTGAGGTAAAAAAAAGGTCCAGACCGAAGCAACTAGTAGCATTCGCAGCAGCAGCAGCACAGTACCACGCATGTTGCAGACGTTAAGATTTAAAGCAAGATATAGATCTGCATTCGGCGTGCCGCTGCGTTAAAACTGCTCTTCATAAAATCAATCAAAAGTTCTAATGCATTTGGAGCCTCAAATTATTAATCAAAATAAACCTTAAAACCACATTTTGATGCTGTGTATTACTGTGCAGTGCCGAACTTGTTGTCTGAGGTTCACCTAAAAAATCAGTAGTTATATGAGCAGTGAAAAGTTGGAAAAGACAATTTGGCAAGATAATGAAATATGTAAGGTCGCACAGTCGATTGTTTTCACTAATAAACAACGATTACGGGAAATTCCTGGTCACTCAGAGCAACGTAATAACCCGCAGGAATGCAAATGCACACTGATGAAGCCATACACTAGTTCTTTAGAACTTGTTCAAAATGGTAGTCGTCAAATTACACCATTCAAAACTGCCGCTAACTGATTGATTTTTTTCTTTAGAAATTTTTACTCTTTCAGACAAATATCGTCATAATAAATAAAAAAAAAAACTACCTTCTTCATTTTTCAATTCTATACCAGTGTCATCTGACAAATCTGCAAAATATTTAACTATGAGCAAACAACAACTGTTTTTAATACTAATTTTCAGTAAAACTTCAAACTGCTCAATAGATTTAACTACGTAGTAAATTATCGGCTAGTTAACTGTAAAATAGCTAGATCATACAACTCCATTCCTATGAATTCTAACAGTATTACGTTAATAAATCATTGTTGAGTTGATTCATTCATTCATTTAGTACCTAATATATGCATTAACATCTATCTTCTCGGCTACGAGAAACTTTGGCCTTAAAATTTTCAAATCGTAAATACCTGCACGGTGAATATGAAGCACTTCCTCTAATTCTAAAATTGTTTCACCAAGTTTAGCGCGTTCGAAATCACTTCTTAAAGGAGGCATAACTCGCTCATAACCTTCAACCATCATCGATGAAAATGGCTCCTTCTGGAATTTTTTTTGCTATTTGAAAATTTTCATTAACGACTCAATTCCACTTTCCTACATTTCAGAAATATAGCGTAGGTTTAGAAAATTTCAGTGAAATCACTAGATCACCCCAGTCATTCAGATTGGTATATCTCTTGGCGTAGCAAACTGCACTTCGATAGGGACCATGCTAACTCGAAAAAATGTTACAACAGTACATCTATCGTCTGAATGGATCACTTGTGCAATTATTTTTTGCAACAGAAATCTTTACCTCAAGAATCTGTAAGGTACGCTCGCTCCGGTTTAATCCATCAGAGACGAAATTAATTCGACTGAATGCTCCAGAATTAACATGACGTACAGGACCACCCCGAATATGTACTCGTAGTGTCAAATCACCAGTCCGCGGCGTGTCTTCCTGAGTTTCCACATCAACCGAAGTACGATCAGAGACAACACCTAACACATTTGAAACTGTCTCCTTCACATATTCCTGAAAACAAACAATAGCACAATGAAATATACTTGTATTGATTGTGCAACTAAATATGATCATATTGGTCATAAAATCGAATACAATATACTAATCGTAAGGTCCAGAATGATTCCCTTAGGTTATTCCTATTTCGGAAATTATCATTATTCCATAAAAACTCACTGTTGTATTACCCGCATCCTGAAATACGGCATTGCGTATGATAACCATTTCACCATTTATCACGTTAACTCGTGTGCTTTCAACATTATCATCACTGCCATTATGTCCAAGATCAGAGTGTTGCGGACTCAAACCAGGTGGAGGGCCACTGCAAAAGAACTAATTTTTTTCCAAATACACACATGCAACCGAAAGTAATCTGTTATGTTCGCAATGCCGCTCCTTCATGCTCAGAAAGCCAAAGCTAAAATAAATAAGAGAAAATTACGCATTAAGTGGACGTTCCACCATGTGAAGAGTTAAACCATCTGCAATACCATAATCCTTCAGAAGACGATCATTACTCAAAAGTGGATGTCCTTGAAAAATCAGCCGCTGTCTCGATTCCAAAATACCCATCTTCTCCTCTATCACTTTTCGCAAAACACCAAGACTTGCCTTAAATGCAGTGAAAATGTTCAGAATTAAAATAAGACTTCAAAAATGAAAATCCAGACCATCTACTGTTGGAATAAGCAGTAACTTACATCGTCAGCAATGTCCAATTCTTCATCATTTCGATCTAACGTTTTCACTCTGATTCTCATGACTGAAATTCAAGTCTGCTTTGCGATAGAGAAAGAAAATGGGAATGAAATGAAAAATATACGTGCGAGATACACGTACCGCGAATGTGCTATATTTATTCATGCAGTCCACAATATTAGTGATGAATAAATGAGATCACACAAATAGAAATCTAATATGGATAACTCATGCATTACCATGCTTTTTTCCATAGAAATAAGTGCATATCAAAATTATATTTGAGATAAATTAATAAGAAAAACTTCGAATTCCTCAGAAATTTGGAGGAACTTCTCTACAAATGTTAATCGTCGTCAAAAAAATATTCAAGGAAGATATATGATGTCAATTGCTCTACAACTTAGGGAAAGTATCACAAACAATAAATCAGACAAGATAAGCCACAGAACGATCAGTCTAGATGGCCCCGGAATTTCCACACACCGTCCGCCCATTTGAGACTCCCTAGCGCAGAGCAAGCAGAACCAACCTATCAAGAAGTTAACTGAAAAATATTATGACCAATTTCTTGGACAAATCAATTTAAAAAGAATTTACTCCAAGCTCCAGATGGCGAAATCTGCATATTTTCAATCAATAAAATGTATTACATTTGCATAATTTAAAAGCTATCGTTTTTGCTCGTACCCCCTTTCTCTAGTAACACATCTTGTGATCTGGATTTTTTTAATATTGCAACGTACATCAGAAATTAGGCATTCAATGGGGAAATTATAAATGTTTTTACGATTTAGGTATGGTGATAAAATGACACAGCTGACAACTTGAAATATCTTCTGCATTCTATAGCACTATTATATATACCAAAACTAATTTGGATACTTCTTGATGTACGATCCACGCAATCAGATATCAGCAATCAAAATCTCTATCAACTGATGAAGTCTAAACCACAATTAAGGCAATAATCAGGCCACAAACTTGACCCATACCAAAGTCACATATTCGCCCCAAATACTATACTACATGTATTTCTAGGCATCTGTACTATCATCATTATTTCGCGGCTGGACGATGTTTTCTTTTATAGCTTATTCTCAGCTGCAAGTAAAATTAGGTGAGGGTAATGGGGGATACCAGAGTGGGGAAAGGGGGGAGGGGGTTGTGTTGAAAGAAGAGTTGGGTTTGTTCAATCTTCACTACTGGCAGTTAGGGCAATTTGATGCGGAAGTATGTCTGTGATTGCCGATAGCCGATTGGAATGATGGAGAGAGTTGTGAGGAAGAAGCAGCTAAGTTCGGACGTAGAACGAATGACTCGAAGCAATTACGTCGGTTATGTCGTTGTTTTTTTTTTCGACGATTAAAATCCATGTTTGAGAATATCTCAATTTGTTCATATTCATCATAGTACCAAGAATATAATCATTGGATGTAAATCTTTTGATTATTAGGCTGTGCCAATCAATGTTAATTAAAGTATTCAAGGTAATACTTTGCTTATTTTTTGATGAGAGAGAAAGGAAAAGAAAAATGTTAAATATTTTTTGGAATTAAAAACCCAATTGGGCATTATGGAAGGAATGTAAACTTTCAAGGATAGATAAATCAGGCTGAAGGAAACTGGAAATGTCAAGTATTCATCACAACAAGACAACAAGCTATGCTCAGCTTGATTCCCATTCATTCCGTTTCTTGTACTTCCTTATTTTCCTATATTTTTCGTTGATCCTTTTTTCCCCGTTTCTTTTTCTCTTTTTTTTCAAACTAATTTTTCAAAAGCATTTAATCTGTAATGAGATGAAAACTTGAATATTAAAAGAAATCGAATTAGATAATAAAAGAACAGAAATTATATAGATGCGAACAGTTTTTTCTAAGAAGGAAATATTCAAGGAAAATAAAAAGATTTTTTTTGTTGACAATTCTAATCAATTTTGATTTTTGAATTGTGAAAGAAAGCATCTAAACAGCATCACCATTAGCCAAGCTGGTGAATTTGACGAGTTGTTTTAAAGGATGATTGTGGCTCTTTTTTCAGTTGCTGCCTTTAATCGTGTTCGACGTGCAATTGCGTCAGCAAGAACGGATGTTTTTTTTATGAGCGATTCAAAAGATGTTTTCAGCTTTTCGGCTTATGTATTACGAGTTTTTTCCGCCTTATCTCTGATCGATCTTTTCTACTATTCGCAAAGGTCATTGGGATGTGTACAGTGATATTAATGGATTAATTTATAAAAAAAGTTTATCAAAAATTATCAAATCTGAAGATGACCATAATTTCAACATGGGTAAATGTGTTAATAGTCTTGACGATGTTAATAATGTATCAGTAAGCGCACTTCTTCACCCTGCCTTCCTGATCGATATTCAGGCTAACGATACCCATATTATAGATGTCATTGATATAACTTTTCGGGATTTGATAATCGTCCACAATCCTACATTTCTGAAATGGTTTCACCCCGTAAATTGAAGAAGGAACAAATTTTTCCTGTCTTTATGCTTCGATCAGTGACGGAAATTTGGAAGATCATATTTGTCTCAAGGGATTGTTTTTCTACCAGTGAGTGCTGTAATTCTTTTAAACTTTTTTAATCTTACTTTTGTGCAATAATTTATAAGAAACGAAATACGAGCATCAGAAGAAAGTTTTAGCTGATTTACGATAACTTTTCTTATCAAAAACAAACTGATATAAATCACTCATTTAGAGACATTTCATCCTTAGGATAATTAAATCCATATTTTACTCGAGACTTACTGGATCGATGACGCCATCGTTGCAGCTGTGAGTAATGCGTAAATAAGGCGCAATACTGCCTAATTCATCTTCTTGTCCGCTTACTTCAAAGCGTCCATTTTGATCAGAATGAGTTGCAGAAAGTGAATCATCAGGATCCCCTTCAAAATTATATCTTAATATGAGTTTTCCATTTCTTGATCAATTTGTTTTTGAAAAACCTTCTTTCCTAGTTCAAAACTTCTCATTTTCTATTCACGGAATTGAATTCCAAAAATTGACTGAACTATAGCTCAACTAATTTACCGTAAAAATCCCGTTCCAATCGCAACTTTTCATTACTTGCCAAAAATTCGTGGAAGCAATTTCGTAATTCGGGAAAGTCAGAAAAAAACGATCAAGGGATTTGGAAACTTCAATACAGGTTGGGAATGGTTTAGGACATTTTGAATGAATGGATGATGTGAAGTTGCTGCATTGGAAATTATCTAAGATGAATGATTGTATGGTTCACTGTCAGATCACATTGCAATTTTTTGACCTTTTAACATGTAAAGTAAAATGTCAGACAATTATCCTAAATAAGGTAGACAGAACTAAAACTGAAACAAATATTCGAGGAAATCTGACATCTATCGGCTTCTCGTAGTTCAATATGAACATTATTAACCGATTTATCATTGCATGCCACTTGTCCCTTTACCGCAATTGTTTGCATTTTGCAGTGTGCATATGTTACCAATATCAAAATGAACACTGTCACTTTCAGTGTTGACATTTCTAATCTGAAATTTGATCAGTTATTTAGAAGTGTCGGAAGACAGAAAATTGAGCCTAAGTTTGACAAGATTATCTTTCATACATTACAATGTTGAATTTTTAAAGCATCCAAGAAATCTTATAATTATTTGATCAGAATGTTTTAGCTTATCGAGAAGAAATATGTTTTAAAAAAAAATTGATATAGGTATAGAGGAATTCTAGAATGAACTGAGGATTTCTCGTAGTGAAATGAAAGCAAATGAATTGTTTGTAAGGAAACAAATGAGATTTGATGATGAGAACAGCTGCTTTGAAGGATTGATATGTCATTGGTGAGAGTGATGATGGCCGACCCTTCAACTGTGTTTGTCATTGTTTTAAAGATGGCCGACCCTTCAACTGTGTTTGTCATTGTTTTAACTCTTTACTTAACTGACTAAACTAAACTGATTGAGAAATTTTCTAACCAAAATTTTGATAAATGGATTTTTTCTGTCTTTGACTCATTCTCACTTATTTTTAAGTTAATTTTTTTGAACAAAAAATCTATTAAATGGTCCATCTTTCGTGTAAACATTACATTTTGTTTACTTATTTTCAATTTTATTTTCACTTTTAAATTTACGTCAAACTTAAACTTTAAACTTTCTACTTCAAGATTTTAGGGAACAAATTTTTAGTAATAAATTTTTTTTCAGGTAAAATACATCCATAAATATATATATATATATATATATATATATGTACAAAAACTTGCAGGCCAAAGATTTGCAATTTCAATCAATTTAAAGTCGGGTAATTTGAATTTTTTTTTGCACCAGAAATTGAACAATTTGAGGTATTTTAAGTACACTGGACGTTAAAACATGTCATCTGCTGTGATGTTGCTTGTTATGATTTGACAAAGTGTCAGCTTTAATTGAAGTTGAAATGTGACATTTTTTTCGAACTGACAACCATTTGTTCAAAAAGAAAAGAATTTTGCATTACTTTTCAACTTGTAACATTGCATTTTATCTGTAAAAATTTGGGTTAACAATTTATAGTCTAATCAATAGTGGTAGAAATAAGAAATAAGTGTGATAAGAATCATTCTAACATAATTCGTAAAGTACACCGTTGTCATCTTTCCAGTCAGATGCAATTAACTTCAGCATTTTTTTTAATCATTTACAAATATTATTCAAATTTTTGTGTATAATTATTGATAAATGATATTGAGATGACAATGATTATGTAATTGTATGATAATGATAATGATAAAATAATTGAATGATCTATGATAAAATTTGAGTTATTTTTTCCCATTTTTTTTCGTAGAAAATATTTTTAAAGTGTAAATTTGATAGAAGTTTGATTCTCTTCTATATTGTTTTTTTTTGCATTAGCAATTACATATAACTATTTCATTAAATTTTTCGAATCAAGCAAAATTCAGAGATATCATCTTACTACAGAGATAGTGGTGTTATTTTCTGATATCAACAATAATATAACCTTATCATTATCCTTCTGAAGAATGATGAAATAGTGATAATGACAATGATACCTTACAATTGGTTATAATTATTTTGATATTTTTATTTTCATTTAATTGTAAAAGAAAAAAAAATTGTCTTCAACTAAAAGCAAATCATCACTGATAACAAAGAGAAGATATCATTGAATTATAATAATGATAAGAGTAAATTTCCTTTTTTTTAGTTATAGAAAAAGTGGAAAAATACTATTATCTGTCATAAATTATTATCACTTAAAAATAAAGAGAGAATTGATTTTTTTTTATCAATCCTACTTTTAATTCAGCTTATTTCCTCATAAAAAATGAGCACTTATTTTGATTTTAACACACACTCATTTCTTCTTCCTCTTCATTTTTTTTCTCTGTTAATAATTTTTATTCAATCGATTGATCGATCAATTAATCAATCAATCAATCAATAATTGCTAATTTTATTTTATTACACAAAATGATAATAATGTTTATCAACTTTCTCATCATACATTGTATCAAATTTTTTTCACTTCACTTTTTCTTTCTTTTTGTGTTTTAGTTAAACTAAACTGTAATATAGCATTATGAAAATGATTTGAATCATTTTCATTTGAAGCTGTTAGGAATGAAGCTGTGAGAGATAGGATTAGTAATGTATTGATATTGCATGATTTTGTTAGCTATTCTGATCTATTTTTCTTCTTTCTTTTTCTTTTTTTGAAATAGCAATTAAAAATTCAACCTTTATACTTCTTTTGTTTTCCTCTTAATTGTTAATGAAAAATAAATAAATTAAAAAAATTTAACATTTAGAAAGAAAAAAACGATTCATAAAATATCTCAATAAAAGTAGAATTAAAATGTGTTAATTATTAATTGCTTATTTTAAATTTCATTAATAGTATTGAAAAAAAGAAGAGCTGGTAATAATGGAACATTTTTAATAGCATTATATGGAATATAAATATGAATGCATTCCATTATTGTATAAATTATTTTATTGATAATAAATTTATTAAAATGTGGTATGTGTAAACAAAAAATAATTCACACATCAATCAATGCAATTTATATTTACCGGAAGATTGGTAAGCGGTTTTATGGAGTAAAAATTCTCAATGATCTCTTTATCGAAAATGATTCAGAATTTATCGAAAATGATTCAGAATTTATCGAAAATGATTCAGAATTTATCGAAAATGATTCAGAATTTGTCGGAAATGATTCAGAATTTATCGAAAATGATTAGAATT